GTCCAGGCCCCCGCCCCTCCTCCCTCAGACCCAGGAGTCCAGACCCCCGCCCCTCCTCCCTCAGACCAGGAGTCCAGACCCCCAGTCCCTTCTCCATCAGACCCGGGAGTCCAGACTTCCAGACTTGTTCCCCGAGGATCCCTGGGAGTTCAAGCCCCCATCGCCTCACTCAGACCCGGGAGTCCGGGCCTCCAGCCTCGTCATCTCTCAGATCCAGAACTCCAAACCCGTAGCTTTCTCCCCCAGGTTGCCCGAGTACAGACCCTGGTCCCTAAGAGCGCTAAACGAAAGCAGTTGCATGCACTACAATCCCCATCCGCCCTCAAATAGAAGGGCAGGCGGCTGTACGTGATGCAGCCGCAATGCCTTTTGGGAGTGGTAGTTTTCCCCCAAACCACTCACCCCTCTCTCTGCTCCAGTTCCATATCTCCCGCTCCGGGCGCCGCGGGTCTCAGAACGTCCAACCTCGCAAACCTCTAGGTTAAGTCCTTCGCAAAACCACCAGTCCCATCAAGCTTCACGCCACGGCATCCAGGACTTAGCCGCTACGCCTTCTGGGACTTGTAGTTCCCGGCTTCCGGCTTCGCTCCCCACCCCACCCCCTCCCCCTCCACCCTAAGTCCCGCCCGGCTTAAAGGCCTTGCTTTCTCGTCTCACTCCTTCCCCAGTCGTCTGAGTTGTCCCCGTCTTTATTCTCGTCTCTGCACCTTCTCGTCTGGTTAAGGCGATTCCCCGCTTAGCAGGGTCAGTCCTTGGCAATCCGTCGGGCCAAGTCCCCTCTGCTCTCCTCCTTACCGCTTCTGCGCATAGCGGCAGGAGCTAATAAAGTTGTTGTTCCAAAGGCGGCCGGGAATGACGCGGGGCGGGAGCCAATCAGAGCGCGGCTTGGCCGCGACGCCGGCGCGAGACTCAGACGTCATCAGTGAGCGCCGACCGCTGTTTGGAAGCGACTTTTCCTAGAAACCGTCGTGAGAGCCGGGGAGAGGTGCGTGTGAGGGAGTCGAGGGGAGGGCGGACCCGGGGAGCGGGCGTGTGCAGGGAGAGGGGCAGCCTTAGGAGATTGGTTACGCAAAGGTCCTCTGTGCTCCTACAGCGTCAGGGCTCTGGCGGTGTGGCGGGAGCCAACGCTGTTCCCCGCCCGCTCGGCGCTGTGCCTGGTGCCTGGGGAGACGGGCTTAGTCAGGTAATGGTTACGTAATTACATAATCACGGATGCGCGGGGCGCCGCGGGGCGCACCCGGGGTGGCGGGCCGCGTCTCGTCTGCCGGAGGGGACGCGGGAGGAGAACTGAGGGCTGAGGAGGGCTCGAGCCAGGAGGAAGGAGTGTGAGGACTCGAGGGCGACGGGCGTCCCGGCGGCGGTGCAGCCGGAGAGGTGGGCTGGCATGGAGCGAGCTCATCGCGGGCACAGTGAGCCGTGAAGCAAGGGGTACGGCTCCTGTTCCTGCAGAAGTGTCAGCTTCATGGGGAAGACGGGCATTTGCAAATGTTGGAAATCCAGACAGTCTTAAGTGTTGGGATGAACGAAAGGGCTCCTAAGATGCATTAACAGCGGGTTAGGGCCTAGTCCGGGGCTCGGAGATGCACGCTGCAGGAAGCAATGTTTGTGCTCCTGCCTGAGGGACGAAAAAATAATACACTCAGAGACCTGGAGAAAGAGCGTGATGTGGCCGGCGTAGGGAGTAGATAAAGTCGTTCCCTCGTTTAGCAGGTATAGTTTTCAGTACCAGCTACGTGCTAGACTTTGAGCTAGATGATGAGGATGTAGCTGTGAACAGACAGATGTGATGCCCAGGTCTGCTGACAGTTGAGTGGGGAAACAGAAAGGTATATTTTCGGTACCAACTACATGCTAGACATTCAGCTAGATGGTGAGGATGTGGCTGTGAACAGACAGATCTGATGCCCAGACCTGCTGACAGTTGAGTGGGGAAACAGAAAGGACGTGCAGATATACCCAAGTCTTATATGTATGGGGAGCGGGGTATGTTCTGTAAGGAAAGAGGGGCGCCTGGGTGGCTCAGTCAGTTAAGCATCTGCCTTCAGCCCAGGTCATGATCCCAGGGTCCTGGGATTGAGCCCTGCATCGGCCTCCCTGCTCCGCGGGGAAAGTGAGGAGGGGAGTTTCAGAGAAAGGCACATGTGAGACCACGCAGGTGCGTTAAAGAGAAGTGGCAACAAAGGGAGTATCGCATCCGAGGGAGAGAGGAGGGAGTGGGGGAAACCGATCTCCTACGGACACCCTTTCCACTTTCTCTGCCAAGAGAAGCTCTCTTTCCTTTATTTATTTGAGATCAAGAGAGCAGGCGACCACAAGGGGGGAGGGGCAGAGGGAGAGGGAGAAGCAGACTCCTTGCTGAGCAGGGAGCCTCAGTTTTAAATTATCCATTTGAATAATTACAAGGAAACACTGAGATGGAGAGATTCTACGTAAAAATTCTGAATCTCTTCTCTCGAAAAAAGAAAAAATCTGGCGCCGTGCAACCGACAATCCCATTTGCAAAGCATGTCTGCAGCTGCGCATCAACTCCGCGTTTACATTGGCGGGGAGTTCTCTGCTCTCCCTGTTGCCCAGCCCCCAGCGTGCCACACTCCACAGATCACCCGCGCCAAGTCTCTGTTTTTACGGCTCATTACGCTTCAAGGGAGGGTGGTGTAGAAGGGAAGGAAATGAGGAAGGGGATTTGTTTTACTGAAAATGGGAAAGAGCAGGAAGGAGGATGGGTTTCTCATTTTTAAAAAGTAAGAGCAGTGGGGAGGATGGTGGTATTGTACCTTGCTGAGTAGTCCTTCTCATTCTTTTCCACTTCATGGGACTCAAAGAAAATACTCATTTTGTCCAGCATCTGAAGTATATGAGGAGGCTGCTCATGGCCAGAGGGGATCAGCCTGGGGGCCCTAGGTGTTTTAGGCCCCACCTGGTTGCCCTGATGGCTGGGGAGATCAGTATTTTAGGCTATCATTCATTTGGGGCTCAACAATTTTGGGGAGGGGTCTCTGTTATAGGACAAAAAAAAAATCTGGGGAGAGGTCCCATCTCATCAAGGGGAGGATGTAAGTTTTTTAAGGCTTGGCGGCATGAGGGGCGTGTTTTGTCTTTTCCAGTAAAGTGAGTATGAGAAGGGTGAGTGGTGTGAGCTATGACCGGAGACCACCTACTTCTGGGAGGTTTGTTCACGGAGCAATTCTCTAGTTATTCAGCACCTATTATGTGCCAGACACAGTTAGGCGCTGAAGAACAAAGCACGTGAAAATACCTGTCCTTAATGGAGCCTGCATGCTTGTGGTGTCGATCCAAGAAGGACCAGGCCCTTCTGCAGGGAAAAGCCGCTCTCATTAATGAGGGGGGACCCTGCTCTCCCTCCCCATAGGCCTCGGCATGTCTCTGGCAGATGAGCTCCTGGCTGACCTTGAGGAGGCGGCAGAGGAGGAGGAAGGAGGAAGCTATGGGGAGGAAGAAGAGGAGCCAGCAATCGAGGATGTGCAGGAGGAGACGCAGCTGGATCTTTCCGGGGATTCAGTCAAGAGCATCGCCAAGCTGTGGGACAGCAAGATGGTGAGCGGGCTGTAAAGAGAAACTGCCGGGAGGGGTGATGTGTGCCGTAGCTCTTCTTCCTCAGAGTCCTGAGTTCCAACTCTCTGTCTTTCCCGAGCAGTTTGCTGAGATCATGATGAAGATTGAGGAGTATATCAGCAAGCAGGCCAAGGCTTCAGAAGGTACCCCTCCCCTCCCGCTCCCCCTTGCCCACCCAGCCCCTGGGCTCTTTGGCTGCTTGCAGCTTTGGAGGTTCGGTCTGTCGCCCTCCCAGCCTTTTGGAGAGCCCTCTTTTTCTTTTCCATCCCAGCTCAGTCTTCTCCCCTGAGAATACGTCACGTTGTAAGACTGACACTTCTGAAGTCCGTGCTCTGTGCTGAGTGCTTACTAGCTGCAGTAGGACTCACCTCAAGGCTGCTCAGGCTTCAGGAATTCATGTGGATAGTTAAGGGTCTTGCCACATCTGTAAACCACTTGTTTTAGTATTTACTTCATGTTTTCTTTAGGTCAGCATACTCTTTTCCTTCAATTTATCTAAGAAGGAAAGTTAATGCTACTGTGAGCGGAAAGCTGGTGTCATTTGGTAAATGGAGAGTAACCCTAAGATGTGCAGTTATCAGCTCATCAGCTTTGAGGAACGCTGGGTTGTCTCTTGAATACTCAGCCCAGCTCTGGGAGGCTGCTCCCGTTGCCACCCATTCTTCTTGACAGGGTGGAGCTCTGGGCTGGAATTTGTTGGCAGAGTGTGGTCAGAGCAGAGTCGCAGGCAGACCCACTCTTTCCTTCCTTCCTTTAAAGTTTTCGTGAGGCACCCGGTGGAAGGCCTGCGTGGGCACTGGGTGCCCTGGGGAATCCGCCCAGGTCTCGGCTCTCAGAATGCTCGGGGTCTGGTGAAACAGACAGGCCAGGTCTGGACGGTTGTGGGCGGTGCCTGCTGGGTGGGGGGAGCGCGGGACACTGGAGCTGCTAGGTGGGGGCTGACGCTGCCTCAGAGGCTAGGAAGAGCTGATTGCTGAAATGGGCTTTGAAGCATGAATACACACACCATGCCAAGAAGAGTGGCTGTATGCCCTGGGAAAGGGAGCTGTGTGTGCAAAGCCTCACACATCTGGAGTGGCAGAGGTGGCGGAAGAAAGTGCTAGATCCAGTGGGGTTTTGAGCACCAGGCCAGGGAGCTTCTCTATCGGAAGAGCTGTGGGGAATGGAGGATGTCAGGTCAGGCTCCGAGTTCAGTCAGACCTGATCTCACTTGGTGTGTGGTCGGGGAAGCGGACACAGGACATCTCCAGTCTGGGTGGCGGCTGTGTCTACTGGATGTGGCCAGAGTGCCTCGGGAGCGTAGAGGAGACCTTTGAGCCTCCTGAAAGGAGGGGAGGATCCCGAGGTGCCGCTAAGTCTTCAGGACGCAGACATTTGAGCCATCAGGGTTAAGAATGCGGACCCCCGGGGCACCTGGGTGGCTCAGATGGTTAAGCATCTGCTTTCGGCTCAGGTCATGATCTTGGGGTCCTGGGATTGAGTCCCACATCAGGCTTCTTGCTTAGCAAGGAGCCTGCTTCTCCCTCTGCCTGCCACTTCCCCTGCTTATGCTCTTCCTCTCTCTCTCTCTGGCAAATAAATAAATAAAATCTTTAAAAAAAAAAAAATGCGGACCCTGGGGCCAGATCTCAGCTCTGCCATCTGCTGGCTCTGTGGCATCAGGCCACGTCCCTCCGTTTCTCTCTCAGCGTCACTGGTCTCGTGTAACACCAGCCTCCCTGGGTGGTTGTGGGAAAACAGGGCAATACCTGTGAGGCTCCAGGATCAGTGGCACACACGGTAAGTCCTGTGGGTGTCGGCCACTGCACCTACGGCTTGTGATAACGTCCTCAGTGTCGTCATCGCAGTTATGATCATTAAAACCTGGAGAGGAACTTCAGAAACGTGTGAGGAAGGGACGTGCCAGGGAGGGGAACAGCATATGCAGAGGCCCAGAGGAGAGTGAAGCAGCCCCGAGTGCTCGGGCACTGCAGCCAGTCCTTCCTGGCTGGCCTGTGATGAGGCGGGGGCGTCTTGAGAGGGTGGGGCTGGGACAGTGCAGAGGCCAGACCGCGGAGCCCGACAGTCAGCAAATACCCAACCAGGCGCTGTTCTGGGCACCGGGGTCATAGCCGTGGGAGACATACACAGTACCTGTCCTCACAGGGCTTCCTATCTGGGGAGCTTGACCCTCAGCATCAGTGGTGTGGGGAGCCCCTGGAGGGGTTAGTCCCGGAGTGAGATGGGGTCATATGAGGCCTGGCCTGGAGGGAGAGAGATGGCAGGTGGGCCGACATGTAAGCCCACCTCCAGGTTTTCTCCTCGGCCCCCCAGCTGCCCCCTGACTCCCCCAGCTGTGGGAGTCTAGACACACACCCACCCACCCAGGCTGTTTGTCATCCTCACAGTGATGGGACCAGTCGAGGCAGCCCCCGAATACCGGGTCATCGTGGATGCAAACAACCTGACCGTGGAGATCGAGAACGAACTGAGTGAGTGCTGGGGAGGGAGCAGAGGTGGCCCTGCCTGGCGTCCCTCACGCCCTCCTCCCCCATCCCCAAGGAGGGGACGGGCAGAATCCCGCTGGCCTTC